TCATGCTTATCCGTCTGCCTGCCTGTTTGCGTGTATACATGTGTGCATCTGTATTATGTTATCTATCATGCTTATCCGTCTGCCTGCCTGCATGTCTGCATGTCTGCATGTCTGCCTGCCTGCCTGCCTGCCTGCCTGCCTGCCTGCCTGCCCTGCCTGCCTGCCTGCCTGCCTGCCTGCCTGCCTGCCTGCCTGCCTGCCTGCCTGCCTGCCTGCCTGCCTGCCTGCCTGCCTGCCTGCCTGCCTGCCCTGCCTGCCTGCCTGCCTGCCTGCCTGCCTGCCTGCCTGCTGCTGCCTGCCTGTGCCTGCCCTGCCTGCCTGCCTGCCTGCCTGCCTGCCTGCCTGCCTGCCTGCCTGCCTGCCCTGCCTGCCTGCCTGCCTGCCTGCCTGCCTGCCTGTCTGCCTGCCTGCCTGCTGCCTGCCTGCCTGCCTGTCTGCCTGCCTGTGCCTGCCTGTCTGCCTGCCTGTCTGCTGCCTGTCTGCCTGTCTGCCTGCCTGTCTCTGCCTGCCTGCCTGCCTGTCTGCCTGCCTGTCTGCCTGTCTGCCTGCCTGTCTGCCTGCCTGTCTGCCTGCCTGTCTGCCTGCCTGTCTGCCTGCCTGCCTGCCTGCAATATCTATTTACCTGCCATTCTATGTGATGTCATGTTCATCATGTCATGTCTGTCATTTGTGTTTGCTTTTGTCCATATGTCTATGCATGTACATACATACCAGCCTTGCTGCCTGCTTGCTTAATTGTGTGTTTGCTCATATTCCAATTACTTTCTCACTCCCTCTAAAACACTCTCTAAGACAATAATATTCACACTCACTCATATTCATACTTGCTATATCACTCTCACTCACCCACCCACTAACTTACCCGTCCCCCACCCAAACATCTACCCACCCACCACCCACCCACCCACCCACCCACTCACTCACTCACACCATCCACCACCCACCACTCACTCACTCACTCACTCACTCACTCACTCACTCACTCACTCACCTACTCACTCATTCACTCACTCACTTACTCTCACTCTCTCTCTCCCTCTCTCTTACTCATTTACCCTTTCTTCCCTTCCTTTTGACTTTTCAACATGTTTTCTAATGTGTCTATCATTCTCCCCACCTCCTGATCCTTTGACACTGGCAGTCTGCCATTTATTTTGTATTGAGCCTATCCAGTATTTTGGGCTCTGTATCCTATTTTCTCCCCTTCTGTTTCCCTCTCATTCGGTTTCTGTAAATCCTCTCCTTTTTTTGCCTGGTCTCTATCATTACCTTGTCTGTCAGTCTGTTACCATATATACCTTTAAATTTCTGATCAATGGTCACAATTCTTATAGTTATCTTATTCTACTTGCTGATGCATTCCTATGAAGATATATATTCATGCTTAAAGCAGGCATATATTTTGTAAAATAGAGGAATATAAGTTAATGACATAAAAAATTTATTTCAGTGAAAATCTATTCATCATCATTGCAATTTCATAATTCCCATTGTTCTACTTCAGGTAATATAATTTCAATCACCTTCCTTTTGGTTTTAAATTTCAGTATTTTTGCAAGTTTGCAAGTCATTTGTAAAAATACTATTGCAGACACTTCATATTTACAGAATTTTTTTCATCTATGGCAAACAAAGCCAACCGCCACCAACTGATTGCAACTAAGAAAGCAAAGACAAGTAAAAATCAGCATAAACAAGAAAGCATACATTTGTTAATGCAAATTCAATTATTTATCAAGCAAATCATAAGTACATCATAGTTCACTAGGTCAAGTGTGCTGGGAGAACTAATTAACATTGAGAAGAAAGGTTAGTGACAAAGCATGGACATCTGGAGAAAATTGCTGTACATCTCAATATTCACTCTGCCCCGACACCTTTTAGGAAATGTGAGAAATCAGTGATGTACACTACTCAGCGACAGTACTGCAGGTCATAAGACAAAGCAGCAACAGACACTATCTTCCAGCAAAAAATCTGGTTAGTTTTGGTTAGTTGTTTTATTTTCAAACTTGTGGATTGTAATCTGAGCAAAACATAAGCCTTTAGTTTCTTTTTGCTCTGCTGTCTTCCAATCTTTAATGGAAAACATATTATATTAGGTATAAGTTTCTGCTCAAATTGCTTGCATCCAAGAAAACTTGTTATACTGCCCAAAGCCTTGCACCTGTAACTTAGTTAACACTTGAAATCTTACACTCAACTGGCTCCCATCTTTTACAGTCTCAAGCCATTGCTCCGTTGCTGAATTCTGCAAAATAAGTGGTTTTGCTTTAGTGAGTAAAATCTCCATAATATTCACTGCCCAACATGCTCACACTATGAAAGTATTACTTAAACATACTGCTGCATTTTTTATAAAAAAATAAATTAGGGTAAGAAGGGCATACCAACCAATTTGCCAATAGCATAAAATTTCTTCTTTGCCTCATTAAGGAAGAACTTTGCCAACAGAAAAGCTTGGGGAGGAGGTTTCAAATTCTTTATATTTTGGGTGGTGTAGGGCTCAAAATTTTTGTTGAGGAGCATGCACCTCTAATATGTCCTCATGGTATGCCAAATGGTACAGCATATATCATGTAAGCGCACAAGCTTTAGTTACTGACATCTGAGAAGATACCCTGTTCCTCACAAAAACAACTAAAACTGAATCATTCTCTCATCAAATCAATGCTTATCAATATACATATATACAAAGAGCATAGGCTTGAAGCAAAAATGCCACTAGCCTAATGATGGCTTTGAAATTATTTTTTTTTCAAAACCTCTCTAAACATAAAGTAACACATGCATCCAACACCAAAGTTTGTGTGACACACACACACACACACACACACACACACACACACACACACACACACACACACACACACACACACACACACACGACACACATCACACACACAACACACACCACACAGACACAGCTCACACACACACACACCCCACACACACACACACACAGACAAGACACAGACAAGAGACAAGACAGATAGGATAGACAAGAGAGAGGGTAAAAGGGAGAGGGAGAGGGCAAAGGAAAGGGAGGAATGAGAGAAGAGAGAGGGAGAGGAGAGGGGAGAGGAGAGAGAAAGAGAGAGAGAGAGAGAGAGGGAGAGAGAGAGAGGGACGGAGAAGAGAAGGGAGTATGGCAGAAAGAGATGGGAGAGAGAGAGAGGTGGAACGATGAAAGAGAAAGAGGCACCGAGACGAGGGAAGAGAGCAGAGGGAGAGAGAGAGGGAGAGTAGAGAGAGAGAATGGCGGGGGAGAGAGGGGGAAGAGGAGAGGGGAGGGGAGGAAGGGAGAGAAGGGAGAAGAAGAGGAGAAGGGATGAGAGAGTGGGTGAAGAAGGGGAAGAGGGAGAAGGAGAGTGGGAGAGGGAAGAGGAAGAGGAGGGAGAGGAGAGAGGGAGAGAGAGAGAAGGGAGAGAAGGGAGAGGAGAAGAGGAAGAGGAGAAGGAAAAAGAAGAGAAGGAAGAAAGAGAGGAGAAAGAGGAGAAGGAAGAATAAGGAAGGAAACGTAAGAAGAGAAGGGAAGAGTAGAAAAAAAAGAGAATCAAGGAGAGAAGAGAATAAGAGGAAAGGAGAGAGACCGGAAGGAAGAGAGGAGAGAAGGAAAGGAGAATGAAGAGGAAGAAGGGGAAGGAGAAGAGAGGAAAGGAGAAGGAGGAGAGAGAGAGAGGAGGAGAGGAGAGAAGAGAGTAAGGGAGAGAGGAGAAGAAAGAGAGAGAGGAGGAGAGCGAGAGAAGAAGAGAGAGGAATGGCACGGACAGAACGACAGCGAAAGAAAAGAAGTAATTTCACAGCCGCAGAATGCCGTTCCCTTTCCCTTCCCTTACCGTGGATGCCTCTAAGGGTAGGAAAAGACACTGCGCAGGGGTGCTTAATCGCCCTCGTTTACGAGCAGCGTGATACTAAACCTATGTCGTTACGTGATCATCATCGGAATTTAAGGGGGCGGAAGGGGAGCAAAGAGCGTATGGCGGGAAGGTAAATTAGAGATGGGTGATCCATGTGGGGGCAATACGTGTATCAGGATTTTTTTTTGTTGTATTTTTTTTTTTTTTTTTTTTTTTTTTTTTTAATGAGCCGCTCTTATCTGTCTGTTAGGGAGCAGGTGAGTTTATGGTGGTGGAGATATATTAATCGAATTTATGGTGATGAATAAAACTTCAAAGGATTCTCGTGTTGTCATTGGTTTAGTGAACTGAGGTATGTAGGGAGCGTCACGCTTTATGAGCGGCTTTGAGGAGGAAGGGGAAGAGGTGAGGAGGAGGAGGAAGAAGAAGAAGAAGAAGAAGGGAAGGAGAAAAGAGGGGAGGAAGAGGAGAGGATGAAGAGAGGAAGGAGGGAAGAGGAAGGAAGGGGAAGGGAGGAGAGAGAGAGAAGGAAGGAAGGAGGAGAAAGAAAGGAAGGGAAAAGAGAGAGGAAAGAAGAAGAGAAAACAAGAAGAAAGGAAGAGAAGAAGAAAAGAAAGAAAGAAGAAGAAGAAGAAGGAAAAAGAGGAAGGAAGAGAAAGGAAGAGGAAGAGAAGAAAAGAAAAAAGGAGAGAAAGAAGAAGAGAGCAAATGTGAAAGTGGGAGAGAAGAAGGAGGAGAAAAAAGAAAAGGAAAAGAGAAGAACACAGGAGCAAGAGAGAAAAAACGGAAGAAAAAAAAGGAAGAGAACATAAGAGGAGAAGAAGAAAGAAAGCAATGAGGAAGCGAAGAAGAAAGGACGAGAGAAGAAAGAAGAAAGAGAAGAGAATATAAGAGTGAGAAGTAGAAAAAGAGAGAACGGAGGGTGGGGAAACCGCGAAAACGGGGAGGGAGGAAGGAGATTTAGGGGAACGAAAGGTCGAAGAGACAGAGGGGAGAGGGAGGCGATGAGGGCGGACCGAGAAGAGGACGCCGCGGGCTATGCGAGCGAGAGAGAGAGAGAGAGAGAGAGAGAGGAGGGGAGAGGAGGAGAGAGAGAGAGAGAGAGAGAGGAGAGAGAGAGAGAGAGAGAGGAGAGAGAGGGGGGAGGGGGGGGAGGGGGGGAGAGAGGAAAAAGAGAGAAGAAAAAATATGTACTTTCCAAGCAAGGGCCTGGAGGCTTTTTTGCTGTTGCCGGGAGTCATCACGTCTGGAGAGGGATGGAGAAGGGTTGCCGAGGCGGAAGGATGAGGAGGGAGCTGGAGAGTGGGGTGGGAGGGGAAGGGAGGGGGGGGGTGAGGGGTGATTGAGGAGGGGGGAGAAGTGGAGAGCGGGGTAGAGGAGTGGGGAGGGAAAGGGGAGAAGAGGAGCAGGGAGAAAGGGGGGCGGGAGGGGAAGGAGGAGGGGAGGAGGACGGGGGAAGGGAAAGGGGAGGGAGTAGGGGTAAGGGTGGAGGGAGGGAGGAGGAGGAGAAAGGAAGGGGTGAGTAGAGAGGGGAAGAGGGGAGAGACAGGGTGAGGATATGGGAGAGTAGAGAGGGGAGTGGGGGGAGTAGTGAGGAGGGAAGGAGATGGGGAGGAAGGAGTAGAGAGGAGGGCGAGAGGAACTGGGCGTGTAGGGAGAGGGGAGTGTAGAGGGACCTGGAGAGTGGGAATGATCTGAGAGACTGAGAAGATGCGAGGGGGAGTGGAGAGAGGGAGAGCACGGTGGAGAAGGGAAGTGGGAGAAGAGATCCGGGGGAGGCGAGAGAGAGAGTGAGAGGGAGAGAAGATGGAGGGAAGTGGGAGAGAGGAAGGGGAGAAGGGAGGGATGAGGGAAAGAGAGAGGGGACGGGAAAGTAAGGGGATGGGGAGAGAGGGGGAGGAGGGGGAGGAGAGAGGGAGAGCGGGGAGAGGGGAGAGAGAGGGAGAAGGGAGGAGGGGGGGGAGAGAGGGATGGGAGGCTGATGGTGAGGGGTAGAGAGGAGGGAGGACGGAAAAGGAATGATGAGGCTGGGGGAGGGAGGAGGAAGGTTAGAGAGGAGGGAGAGGAAGAGGAAGAGTGAAAGAGTGGAGGTTTAAGGAAGTTGAGGAGAGAGTAGAGAGATGAGGATGAGAGAGAGATAGAGAGAGGAGAGGAGGAGAGAGAGAGAGAGAGAAGAGAGGTGGTTGAAGCGACGGAGAAGTTGACAGAGATGGAGAGAGGGAGTCGGAACCGCGTCGAAAAGGAGAGGAGGAAGGAGAAGGATGGAAGGAGGAAGGAAGGTAGGGAGAGGGATAGGAAAGGAAGAAGATGAGGAAGACGAGAGGAACGGGGTGATGCGATGGAAGTAGGAAGTGAGGAGAGGAGGGAGGTAATGAGAGAGAGGAGGAAAGAAAAATGAGGAAAGTGGCGAGAGAGAGGAGAAGAAGGGAGAGGGAAGAGGAGAGAAGAAAGAAGAGGATGGAGAGGAGAGAGGGACAGAGGCGGATATTATTGATAAGGAGAGAGAGAGGGAGAGGGAGAGGGAGAAGGGGAGAGGGAGAGGGGGACGGGAAAAAAGGGAGAAGGGGCGAAGGGAAACCGGCGAGATAAAAAAAAGGACAGAAATAAAAGCGGACGGGAAGACGGAGAAGGCGGGAGGGGGGGACGAGTGCGGGGAAGGGAGTGCAGAGGGGCGGGACAGGGCGTTGCAGAAAAATAGAGTATTTCATCGGGAGTTTAAACGAGGCGCATGAGAAGTTGAGAGCGGAGCCGCATTGGCAGCTAGGGAGGGAGAGGGTAGAGGACCCCTCAAAAGTCCGGGAGGGAAATTCTATTTTTTTGTTTTATTGTCTTCAGGAACGATCCTAAACTATCACAGTTCTTTACTGAAATACTTCCGCAAGAAAATGACTTGTGTTAGATCAACCCTAGCTCTAAGGCCATGTAAAATAGCCGATTTTTGAATTTCATTTTTTTCTCTGTGCGGGGGACAGCTTGACATAGATAACTTTTTTTTTCAGCATAAAAATATTATTATTTTTTGATTCAAGCAAAAATTTAAAAATCGGCTATTTACACGGCCTTAGGACGCCGAGGCTCTAGTGAAAGCAACAAACTGCATTTGAATTGCATGAACATTACGAGAGTTGGGATGTACCCGGACCGAGGGGAAGGTTCAACTAAAATGATAACGGGAGCTACGGCGTTGATTTGACCACCTTGACTTGCCAAAGTTCGTTTCTGTTTATTTTTACTCCTTTTCTAATCTTAATGAATTTTATATTTATATTTAAAAAATGCTTATTTAGTGTACTTTGCAATGCAATGATTACATGCAATGATTACTAAGTCAATAGGAATTTTCATTTTCAATAGAGATGCTATTCTGTAAAGGTATGTAATTTTTTTTTTTTTTTTGTTCGTTGTTCATAAAAGTAGACACTTTCGTCTGAAAAGTTTAATAAATGCATTTTACTATAGAGACAACTAATCTAAACCAGATGAAAACCTTTTTTCTAATCTTTTAATGTTTTTTATTTTTAATTTTATTTTTATTATTTCTTTTTTATTTTCAAGAAATGGGGAACTGTGGATGGCAACATTAGTAAAAAATCATCCTAATTATAAAGTCCTGGCATGAATACAACATGGTGGTTCAATTTTGAGAATTTTAAAAGCATATGAATTTAGGACATTGAATACGAGAACTTTCGAGTCGTTGAATTTTTCCCATGCTTCACACAGGGGGGAGGAGGGGGAGATGGTCACTGGGTGTTTATAATTTACGAGGAGGATCATATGTATGTGAACGCACGCACACAGAGTTAAAAAGATTAATCATCATCATTTAGTAGGCCTACATTGACTTTCATATCTAAATAATAAAATATATTAGTTCTCCCTCTCATAACATTTTCTTTGATAATTATCAATATTAACAGATTGCAAAGGAGAACAAGTGTAGAGTTTATGATTAGCCATTTGCACCCATTATCTTTACTAAGAAGTGCATAAAATCATGCAGACGCCTACGTGTTGTGGGATATTTGCCAATTTATGGTACCTAAGACTTACAGTAACGTCTAAACATATTCATTTTCATCGGGAACGCATGAAACGGATGCGATAGCTTTTTGAACACCTGACGAAGACTACGCATACAACCGAGCTCAAAATTCCATATAGTTTTTATATCAGAGCAGGTATTACTGAGTACTATCATCTTTAATATGAAATAATCTGTATCTCGCTTATACATCCTAAGTTCAAAAATTTGACATTTAGGTAACACTCGTATTGAATTGGTCTTTACAACGGCAACTACCAATTTCAAATCAATTCAAATTGCCCCATGCTGTGATGTACCAACCGTTGAGCAAAATGTACCGGAAATATTTCAATCCTTACTTATAAGGCTATTTTTAAACATTAGTGCTTCGTATGTGATATACATACATATTACCTCATAAACTAAAACATATTACCAGGAAGTCTTGATCGAAGCATATTTTGTGTCTAAAGGGATACAAAACTTACATTTTTTTTTTAGATATATTTCACAAAATATTTCGTCATAAATCATGGTGATATAATTTTTTCCTGATAATGGTATAAAAGTGTTCCTTGAACATTCATAAACTCATATCTATGCACAATGATATAATTAAATGCCATATGCACGATTGCAGCAAGTAGAAGTCCACATAGGTGTACCTGGGTGCTCATTAGCGACGTACCTCTCCGGGTGCTGAGGGACTCTCGCGTCGTCTGCAAGACAACGAGCCATAGCAGGCGCTTAATACTCATTTGGTAGTTTCCTCATCCATGTACCTATACTATATGCTAGCTAACTCAATTTGACTCCCTTTCCCCCCCTCCATCTGGGACGGTCCCCTTAAAAATCTATAGTTCTATAAATATATATAAATAAAAATAGGTTTGCCTAATTACACAAGATGATGAACCTTCTAAAAAGTAAATACATATATCTATTAGATTACAAAAGAATAGATTCAAATTCATACTCAGAGCAACCTCTATCCTTGGCTAAAAGTAGGTTATCTCCCTCACCTATCTCTAATTCCAATGTGAAAAAGGTAAAACACAACAGCAACTCTCACAAGGAAATGGAATTTACAACTAAAGAGAAGCACATATGAGACCATTTATTTCCTTTTATTTCTTTGTTGGGAGCCTCAACTTTATGATAAAAGATCTTGCAGATAAACTTGGAACACAAGTAAATGAAGGATTAATTGTATCATGCTCGGGTGCACTGACAAACCGACTGAAATGGGGCTAAAAGGAAGCAGGGCTTGTGAGGAATGGGCAGGATGAATATACCTAAAAATAATGGTAAAAATTTTCAGCGAACATAGGCTAGGAGAAGCATTCCTTCGTGCTCACTACTCTGCAAGCAGGCAAGTCTCCAGTTCTCTGTAGCACATAAAAATCATCCTGCCAATATCAGGATGAGATCACATGATATTACATGTATTCATTTTTTTTCTTTACTCTTTTTAGTAATCATACAATTCCTTTCTTTTAATGAACAAATTATTTCTACAAAATAGTGAAAAACTCTTAAGTTTAGACATGAAAACTAAGCTGTTTTAGCTCTTATTTAGGCCGTAATTTCTAGTCTTGGTCTCATCTTATACAGAAGGAAAGTGTCTAGCCTTTGCTTGTTTCGCTTTTTTTATCTTCTAGTCATGTTACAAATCCCAAAAGTTTTATATTTTCAAAAACATGTTATTTTTCCATAATTCACATTAAACCATATTGCTGGACAAGACAAGACTGGTTTCATCTTCACTGGTTTAAAATTACATTTTATGGCACAGTCAGAGAAAAAGAAAATGAAAATTTAAATAAGTTATTTGCATTTGAAAAATCACATCCTCACTTACTTCTTTCTTCACCTACATTGGACATATTTTTCAAGGAATATACATATACAAACTTCAATATGGTCCAGTGGATTAAAATATTCATAACATATCTTTAATAGTACTGTGCACTAAGAAAGTAATTGCTTTTTTCTCACTCTACTTTCGTTATAGTTTAGGGCTTGCAAAGATGGAACCTGTCTCAAAAAGTTCTGTATTACAATCATTAGCAATGGCACTGGGCATTCTTTGGAAAAATTTAACCACTCATCAAGAAAAAAGAAACTGAGTAAGCCATGAGTTTAATTCATAAATTTTAAAAATTGGAAAATTAATTCTAAAAAAAGGCCAAGACAAAATACTTTATGTGGGTTCTATTTTTTCATAATACAATCTCTAAATATCATAGTCTTCCTCTTGAACAGCTATAATGACTAATGCAAAGGAATAAAAGACAATAAATAACTTCAAAATGCAATAGATGCAACTGGTAGAGTTTAATTACATCTATCATAATTACATAAAATTGGGGGAAATTCTTGAAACCCATCGATCATATCTCTTGTGTTCTTAAGTTATCTATTTTCATTCAAACCCTTACCAGAGTTGTTCTTGTAAATGTGTCCCATGCTATAGAAAGCAGCTAGTATTTAGTCCCCTTGAGAACAAACTGTCTGCTCTATGCAAAATATCCAAATGGTAACCCTGAATTGTGCTCTGACTTACAGCTCATATATAATAAATGAATATGTTTCCCATGCAGCCTGTAGAATGGCAGTAGCCCCCAGAAATATAAAACTGCTGGCTAGGTTGGACACTGTACAGGACATCAATATATTAAATACACAGTACAAACATCTGGTAAGCATATGATAAAGGTGGTATGCCAATGACAAAACTGAGATGCAATGTGTAGAAAATTTCATTTTCAAGGATAGTATTTGTGTGCACACCAGTTGTTATCTCCTGACAAAAGGTGTTACCTGTTACCTATACAAATGACAGTCAATTCTTAACTTGCATCTCACTTTTACACAGCATAAAAACCTTATTCTATAGGCAAATTACAAAGTATTTAACCTGGAGTGTAGTGTATGGGGATGAATATTCCTCATAAACTCCTACCCTAGATAGCTCCGACTCTTGTGACACCTGCCCCAATCCTGCTACAGGAAAAGACGGATGGAGTCTCTAACAGGATATGGGCGTGAAGCCATACTGGAGTCAGTGATTCCTGTCCGCCACAGATGTACGCCAAGTCCAACTTTGATATGCCAAGCCAGTTTTTCAAATACTTAACCCAGTCACGCCGGGTACATTTTGCAGCCAAAATAAAAAAATCCGGGCGGCTACAAAATCGGCGGGCGGAGCTTCCCCGGAGTCTGTCCGCCGCCCGGCGCGCGCGCGCTACGTCGGAGCGCAGCCCCTATATAGCATCACACTGGCGGGCCGCCCGGCAATGTTTATTTTTTCCGGTGTCTCATATATGTGACACCCGGGACGAATGGGTTAATACCTATATGCCAGTGACAATAACAATGGGAAATATAAGCTGGCATACAAAATTTTGAAAGAGCTGTTGGCCAAAGATCTTTGGTGGAAAGGGCCTCAATTCCAGACGGACAAGAAGCAACAGAAGATCAAACCACAACTGACTGTTGTTTGACTGGTATGTTGTGCTACAAATTATGGTTGTAATTTTTTTTTAATATATAGCACTATCGTTATCATGTTTGCTTGTGAACATAATAATAATAATGCAAATTATCTACTCTTAATCAGAATGTCAAATGCTGAATAACCAAACAGTGCCACTTTCCAGAAACATACACTCTCCATATGCTGGTCACTGTAATCACCCCAACACTCAAACATTGTCTAATATTTGGCAATCAGGACTATCCAAACCCACTTATCACTATAAAACGGAGAATAACGAAATATTGTCGAATCCAGAAGGCAGACTTGTTTCGAGTCTGAACCTTCCAGAGGTCTTTACCCTCAAATGTCTCACATATTTCCTCGCTTAACTCCAGCCATACCTGTGTTAATTGTTGAACCGACTGCTGTACTGATACAGGTAGCCTTAATGAAGTCTGTTGTACCTCCTCGGTGATCTTCTCTCGCAATTTCTTGAACATTTTGGTAGGATAAGAGTGAAAATTTTGCTGTTTTGCTTTTCCTTTCCTTTGACAACCTCTTCCAGCGCTTACACTCCGGATCCACTTCAGTCGCAACCTGTTTCACTTTATGACCTTTTATTTTTATTTTTATTTTTTTGTTTTTATTGAGTGCGCGATTATGCAAATAGCTGCAGAGCAAAGCATCTATTGGTACCTTTGTTGTCAGGTTTTGGAGGAATATCTAATTTTCCTTAAAAAGTAACTGAAAAGTGTAGGCAGACTTGTTCTTTCAAGAGGAATTAGTCATTATAATTAAGATATAAATAACTCAAAATAAAATATTATCTTTAAATTCATACATATCCCATTGATGATGGTTTCAAAAATGACCATGCGATCCATTGATTATTACGTGTTATAAAATTAATCTTATCTTTTCTGCTTATCTGAATACCGTTTACTCGATTCGCAATGAGTCATATTTACTGTACAGCACACTAGATTTCTCTAATACATTTTTCGTCGTAAAAATCAATATCTGCATGCAGAAACATGTCAGGCAATATTTAATTTTCCGTTATCAATACTTTCATGATTGTTTCAGAGCATAAATATTCGACTGTATTGTGTCCTCTACCGTGTCTCCAGAA